CATTAGGCTTGAGGCCACTGCCGTCCAATTATGCTTTCAATGGATGTTGAGTTAATCAACCTGTGTCCTTGGGTGATATTTTTGTAATTCTATTGAGTGCACTGCTGGAAGTATTAAATAGCAGTGTTTCTTCTTTTAGCTGAAAAAAATAAAACAAGAAATGTTTCCCCATGGTGAGACTGAAGGGTAGCTCTTTTGATTTATAATTTTAATAATCAGGATTTCAAAATAAGACACAAAATATCTCGAGAAGAACCCTGATCAGCTACCTACTTAACAAGTAACATCACTTTTATTAGATTTTTCCTGTGCAAAACAAAATGGTAAAAACCACAGTTTCTGGTTTTGAGTTGTGTGTGAGTTATTTTACTAGCTTTAACCAGCAACGTCTTGGGAGTCTTGTCATTACAGCGAGGTTGCCAGGCAACCAGCCCCGAAAGTCAAAGCATTTCTTGAAACATCACTGTCTCCCCCCCATGGGAGTGAGGGGCATTTTCAGCGTTTTGTAAGCTAGTGAAAGTGGAGACATGGAAGGAAACTGAGCAGAAAGAGATCCTGGAAGCAGAGCTACAGAGGCAGCGAGGTGGACTTCAATGGCTCGGGGGAAAGACATTCAGTCACCCTTGCTAGCAGGCACCAGAATTACTCGTCGGTCAAACTAATTATACATATTTTAATTTAGAGGCTCTTAATGCTGGTCAAATTATGTTCTGAAACCGTAGCTAAATAAAAAGCTAGCTAGATAAAAAACGGTGTGTAGGCGGTCTCAGGTTAAACTTGCATATCCACCAGACCAGAGCAATGCTTAGCCACATTTAGCACGGCCATGCACGCCATGCACGCCATATGTACTGGTTCTAGCAGTGCAAGCCAAATAACACTGTTTACCCACAGATAAATGGAACTACACTGAGCCCACTTTTCTGGGTGGTTTCTTACCTTTAGACTAGTATTTTTGTTCAATTGACCACATGCTAGGAACCTCCCTTATCTGAACACTGACGAATAGGTTGCAGAGTTGGCACAGATACTGTATCTCTTCAATAAGGCGGAATATAAATAGAAAGGAGTAGAATACTACAGTAGCGAAATCTAGCTTGTGGTCTGACTCTTACTTAAGAGCCTATAAGGAAAGAATAAAGTGAACAGATGTAGAGAACAAAAGACACTTTAACACACACTGTTCCCATGACAACAAATCCCAACACGAAAGAGCAATCAGATGAGTCTGTAGCAGCGGCTGCATCTCTAACATTCAGTACCTGCAACACACAGAATCTGAGGAAACCAATGTGAAGCATGCTATTTGCTCTTCAATGTTTTGACTCCACTGAGCTTCATCAAAGATGGAGGTAGATTCATCTAAAGCAATATGCGTACGTTTTCATTGTGCAAGTCCAAGCAGAGGGGTACAGACTAAAGCGCAACCTCTGATGTTGGAAAAATTAAAACAGTGTGAAAGTGGAAAAAAACTGCACTTCCTCAAGTGTCTAATTGAGGCTTCCTGGAAAACCCCCGCAAGTCCCATTAACACTCATGTTAAAATGCCAATTTTGTGACACATTAAAAAAACATTTTTACAGCCTATTTCAAAAAAGGGGTTGGGTCTGAATGGCGATGGGGGACTTTTTTTGAAAACATGTCGGTTTTATTATAAGGCGAATAGTTATGCATACATATAATTGCTAAAATCAAAAGAAAAGTGCTCACATGAATAGCTTGTGACTGGTTTATTGTCTGATCCTGCGACCTTTGCTCTACAGTTCATCTGTATATTTGACTTTGAATATATTGCTGCTCTTCTATCACTTCTGTATCATTTATTCATTCTCTCTTTATTGTTTCTGCCTGTCTTGTTGCTTTTCTTACTATATTTAATTGTTTCCTTTCAAAAGCCACCTGTGGACAGGTGTTGAGAACTAGCATGTATGCTAGTTAAGAGCGTGGTTGACTTGCACGTTGTAGCTGATTGCCAGGAGGATAGGGACTTGCCTATGCTCCACTTCTAAGTCAGTTTCAGACTGCAATAACAATATGGCATCACCATCGATGGGCCTCAGAAACCAGTTTGTGGGATCACTGAGACTATTCATGTTTTATTCAGTCTATGGTAGGGATGGGCACTTACAGTAATCTAAATGTTCGAGTAGTCGCATTACTTTAACATTAGGGTACTCGCTGGTTTTATATTTTTTTACTGTTTATTCTAATGTAAAGTAATGCAGTAATGAGTAGAGAATAACCGTAGATGGCGTAAAGCAGTTGTTGCCATAGTACATGGTACTGTTGCACCTGAGTACTCGTACCCATCCCTAGTCTATGGTAACAACTGAAGAGGCCATGAAACAACAAGCTATAGTCGAACTAAAGAAGTCAAAATATTTGATTATAATGATTTACATCTTAGTCAAAGGTTATGGAGCAACACAAAGAGACGATGAAGGCTTAATGAAATACCACTGGAAGAAGTCTCTTCTAAGGAATATGTACTCCTGAAAGAGTCTCTAACAATACAGAGCCATGAGGACACCAGCTTTTGTGATATTATATATAGTTTTAACTAAATGGAAAATTACACACCACGAAGTGTACACACATTGAATTATACAAGCTAGTATTTACTTCGACAAACTGCTACTTTATATTCACAACGAGTAAATGCTGTAAATGTTGCATAGTTAGCAAACTGACCTGACCTAAAAGCTAGCTTTAGCTTGCTAATAGTGTGGACTGTGTGGATTGAAGAGTGAAAGAGTGAAAGCCCACGCTTGATCAAAAATGCAGTTTTATCATTTTGTCAACAATGAATGATTTGATTAGGCTATATAGTACCTACATTATGCAACATGCTAATCATTCAATGCTAATGATCTCTGTCTAACTGTAAGCACCACCGGTTGTTAGCTTGATCGTATATGCTCTCCACTCGTTCTTAACTGCAGGGATTTACATTAAAAAACACAATCATATCATTAGTAAATGGTTTGATGACTTGCTTTGGCACTTGGTTATTATTTTCCAGCAAGCAACGTACAAAGAAGTTCAGAAGTTATGAACAGCTAGAACTATAAATGTGTGATACAGCAAAATCAGCTTTCATTTACACAAATATATGAAAAAATATATGAAAAAAGCTGATACAGCAGAAGTGAATAAACAATCTGCCACCTCTGTAATTTCACGTCTGATGCCACAGACACCTCTCTGATAAGCCTCAGGTCAGATAACAGATAAAACAGGTTTCCACAGCAGATGGCCAGAAGATGTCTCTGCTGTATCCTCATGCACCTGAGTGAACTTATCTGACCTAAGATACAAGTGATACTGGCTCATGCTTCAGTGATCGAAAATAAACGACCTCAACAAAACATTGGCCACTCGAGGGACAGTAGCTTGTTTGTTTTGGATTTTTCAAGTGTCTCACTAAGTCACTAAAATACATCAATTTGGTCTTTTGGACCGTTGTTGAATTGCCATGGGAGAGGTAGGTATCAATAATAAAATCAACATTGCTCTCTGTTCTATTTAAGCATTTAATTAATTCACAACAGCATAACAGTGAGCCAGCATTACCAACACCAGGACACCTGTATTTTCTACTCGAAGGAGTTAAAACTATTTTTAGTGAAAATGTTGTGTCAGTGCATAATGGAAACTGCAGACATTATCTGATGGAGACAATGACATAAAAGCTCCTGAAAAATGACACAACCGGTCCTAAAGTTGAGATTGTTGTGATGAGTGGAAACAACCTTCTTCAGGTTGTATTGAAAAAAAAAAAGAAGAAATATTTAAATTAATTTATGTAAAAAGTTATTTACTATTTCAACAATTTTTTGTATGTTATCCATCTCCTTAGTCAATGTTTGGGTAAAAAAACCAAACAATCACTTAATTGAGCTTCTAAATGATGATTATTTTCTGCTTTTCTTTTGTGATTTGTGATAGGAAAGTATATATCTAGGAATCTGGACACTTGGTTGGACGAAGCAAGCATTTAGATCACATCCATTTCGGCTTGTAGAAAATGTAACACATAGAAATAATCTATAAAGTAATCAGCAGGTAGATCAAGAATTACAAAATTAAAGTATGTTGCATATCGTCCAACTTGGAAGATCTTGGGCAACTCCACAACCAGTGCACTCAGCTTGAATTACAATTCAAACCTCACTGAATAGCTCTGAATATAAAACAATGGCTCAAAATAACAAGATGAAATGTTTGTACAATAAAAGAACACTTAATCATGATGACACCAACGACGCCAAAGGCCTCGAAGTCTGCACTGGACAACTTAGTTAGAGCAACAAAAAAAAGTGAGATACTTCCACTCCACTTGCTGCTATAGCCTCTACAGCAGGAGCCCTAAAGAGATACTGTGTCATTTATGAGAGAGATGTCAGATTAAATTACAGTCTAGGTACAGAGCTTCTGTGTAAACGCCTGGTTAGGTTAAGCGTCACGATGAAGAAGCCTCCTCCTCTTCTTCTTCCTTTCTCCTTTATTCAGCCAGTGTAACCCTGGCTTTAGTCACACCATGAGATAAGAGAGGCTGTAGTCTGTGTGCACTGTGTATACTTTCCTTAAAATTGGGGGGGGGTATGGAGCCAGCAGGTTTGTGCTGTGGCACAAAGTGGATTTGAACAGCTCCAAATTGAGGCAAAAATGCATGGTAGAATATTCATCCTGGCAGTCTCAATGCTGGGATGGTTCATTTAGTGGAGAAGAGCAGTGCAAGGGAGGCTGAGTGGAGCCAAGTATGGCGGGTTGTAAAGATGCTGCTAGTTTGAGGAAATGTGCAATGATAACAAACGGGGGTAGGGCGCAGTGCATTCTCTCACATTAACTATAATATTAACAGTTCAAATACAAGCAAAAAAAAAGGGGGGGGGGGGGGGCTGCAGGATAAATGTTTGGAGACTGGATGGAAACAAAAGCGAGCATGCATGCGATGCTGAATGAAACAATGCGTCCCAGAAAGCAGACAGAGCACCTACCTTGTCCACTTCTTATGTGTGCATCTTCTTTACCCGGAGCTCCCACTGATTACAGCAACATCAGCCGAGAATTAAGATTACGATAAAAACTAAACTCGAGAGCGTTGAGCTGCACCAAATTCAGGAGCAAATTTGTTTTAAAAAAAAGAAAAAAAAAGCATAAATAAAACAGTAAAAGCTTGAGGCTCAGCCCAGCTTGCTCTCCAAGGGGTAACTATGTTCTTCTCAGGCTATTTTCTGTGCGCTTCATCAGGAAAACAGCCTCATGTTATGCAGCACTACGCTAGCCAAGCGGCTAACGTAGCCCGTGTCGATATTTAATCGAAAATCCGGTGGGTACAGCTATGCTATCCTCATGATTTTCCGTCATTCCGCTGTGTTTTTGGGGAGGATATAGGACAGCAAAGAAAAGGATGCTCTGAGGCTGTGGCAGCGAGCAGGTCCCTTTCGCTCCTGCTGCCTACGGAAGCCCGGTCTGTCCAAAAAAAAAAATGCGCTTCTTTTTATTCAGCTCATCTGATACAGGGCGGTCTGGTAATATGATAACCTACATTTCTCTGGCATCAACATGCGGACACAAGAGGATAAATAATATTAACAAAACAATAATTAAATATATTCATACAGGAACTTGTCAAATTATCTGAGAAATATGCTAAAAATGTCTAAATGAACAAAAAAAACTTGTTTGTTTCACCTCAAATAAAGTTTTTCCCTAATGTTGTCGTTTTTTTTTTGCCTATAACGCCCATATTATAAGGGATGCATGATTTCCCCCTAAAAAAGCTCCTGTGAGGAATTTAAGCTGGTTATGAAATGTGTTTATTTAAACACTGATATATGACCTACAAAAGCAAACAAGACCATAAGCGACAAGATTATTTCTAAAGAGTCATTTTTATGTTTCAACCCCTTATGTATGAGAAGAAGAGAATACACTGTTGAAAAGGTCTTTGTTGACATTTTCCACAGTAAAGATTCACTGTGGGTGATATATTTGACAATAAGACGTAGTACATATTTCTTATTGTATTATTTATATTTTGTGTTTATATTCTTAACATGTATTTCTATATTCCCCCTACTATGTTGTGTTCAAGAGCCACTGTAACAACAAAATTTTCCCCTGGGGTTAATTAAGTACTTCTGTTTCTGATTCTGATTTATTAGAAAACATTTATTACACTAGATCAGAGAGATAGGAGGACTCTGTCCACAGCTGGCGTCAAAGTCAACCCAAACCAAAGGTTTCTCACAGGCGCTATAATGAATACGTTTACAATTGAGCATTAAGTTTGTGGCAGAATAAGACACTTTTACGCCATTGATTTATTCTTAAATCATGGTAATATTCCCATACGGTTATATGCTTTATAAGCCTTGATTTGAAATGTTCCACTTAAAGGCTTTATATGTGATTTTCACATTTAAATATTATAGAAATCAAGTATATCCTCTGAAAATAACTCTGTGAGTAATGACTGTCTACAATGGGTGTAACACCCGAGTCCTGCTGTCTGTGATGTTTTCCAAGCTTTTCTAGCCGTAGCTTCACTTTGTTTACATCGCCCGGACAGCCGGCTGACTACTCCCCTCGCATATAAAAGTTGTTTAATTGAGGGACTAGAGAAAAGAAGAATAATAACATACTGTACTCACTGCTTAATTGAATGTCATGTAAGCACTAGATCACGGTCATTTCGTGAAAAATTTACATGCAGTTTGAAGATACGAGCTTATAAAGATCGCTAGCATTAGCATGCTAACACAACAATGCAGCGCAAATTGTTTTGGTTTCATGCTGGTGCTCAAGGGTGACAACTGCTGGATCAAAAAATTGCATATTAAGCCTTTAATGAAGACATTAAGTTGACTATATTTTTAATTTGGAATCTGAAATAAAGTCAAATGAAAATGGTTGTAAACCTCCTTGCATCACAATGATATACGCAAAGTTTTAATGACTTGATGTGATTGTTTACTGTCAAATGAATAATTGCATGTTTTTTATAAGCATAATAAAATGTCTCATACTGCAGATAAAGATTTAAATAATACTGCACTGACGCTATAACGTTTTCCTTATAGGCGTTTACAGCTTCATCAGTAAACATATATTAACAATCCCTTTCTCAGTGTCCTGAGCACCTGTTTCATCATGAGTCAAATGCTGTGGATTTTTGCTCCCTCTAGTGGAAGCATTTGAACACTACAAGTAGGCATGGGCGCATACATTTCAAAGAGCAGTACAAACGGGGCAAAACAATTACCTGGATATTATGAAGAACAAATTGCAAGATCTTGATTGGACAGTTTTATTTTCTCAATGACATTTATGAAGCCAGGAGTGAGGATCTGTTTTTGTCATTATTATACACAATGTCAAAACAATGAGATACTTTCTTATCACCATCACATCAACATAATGCACACACGGTACCAACTACAGTCACTGAAAGCCCAGGGATTGTTCACAGCCTGGTTGACCAAAGGAATCATGGGAGAAGCGTCTCTGATTAAAAACACAAAAAAAAAACATCATCAGGGCAAAGACGCTACTCAGACACCTTTGGGAGACCAGGTCTGGGTCCATTTAAGACAATCCAGTTCCCCCAAGTTTAGATTCAATGTTTACACTCATTCACAACTTCACGAGAGGGTCAGAAGAAAAAAATACAGGAAAGACTTTAGACAATTCACAATCTGCCATGGTCTGTCATCCTACCGTGTGGAATGATTCAGTAAACAAAAAGTGTCAACTTATATGTTTCAATACGAGCTTCTTGAATCAGTGCCCAGCGTCCTTATTAAACAGTCTGCAAAAATACTGAATTAAGCCAGATTTACAAATCAGCATCACATGTAAACAGCTGGAACTCTTTATAGCTACCAGGTGCTAAAAAGTACGAGAACTACAATGTCAAACATGTAAGGATGGCTTTGTCGTGATTTTTTGGAGTCTATTGTGTCATTTTAAAATGTACTCTTTACAACAACAACAAAAAAAACACTGACTCAGCTTTTAACACACATTAAGCTTCTCTATAGGAATGTGAAAAAAATCAAGTGGAAACACGGCTAACATGTAAAGATGTACATTCAAAAAATACATTTCAATGAGCCAATAAGGAGATGTGAAGTGTGTAGAGTGGGATTATTGTTGATATTTAAATAAGATGATATTGTTTAGATAAAGCTGTTTGTATATCTCTATGTTGAGTTTAGAAGCCACCTGAGAAAACATCCAATCTAAGCCAATGAAAGCCTATGGCCTTATCATATTGAATCCTCCATACTTTATTTGTTCATGTAAGCTACATTAAAAACACATCAGCTTTCCTAACTAGAAAGCTTCATGCTAAGATCGCTCTCTCGACATAAAATCCTCTCAAACTAATGATTTTGGGTATCAACAACTTTTTTGATGCTTCCAACTTAATGATGCACTTTTCTTGTCAAGTTAATACTTGAAAAGTTGATCACAACCAGAATAGACGTCTAAAACTAGAAAAAGAAAACACATTAAGGAGGAGTGGCTGCACAGGAGGGTAAATGTTGATGTCTTAGTTCCATAAGATTTTTGTGAGGAAGGTCAATGATTGACAGGATGACGTATTCAGCTCAGAGGTTCAGCTCAGACGTACAGCTCTGATCTGACATCACTTCCTCCCAAATAAAAAACACGGCCGACTGTCCAGGGACCTCAATAACTATTTCACTTCAGTACTTTAATTCTAAATGTCACACTTCTCGTCTGATTCTACATTAGGAGGTCTGATGAGTACTGTGTCTGGGCCACAGTGTGTGGCTTAAGGACCACTTGCTTATTAGCGAAGCACATTAACAAAAAACAACAGATAAAATGACAGACCAGGCTATAATAATAAACACCCTCATGCTTCACAGGAAAAAAAAAAAAGAAAACAAAAAGATCACATATCCAGCATACACACACACGAACAAATATTTTCAAATCGTCTAGTGAGGTTTTTAACTCATCATTTATCCAAGAGTGGTCAGAAACATGAAATGTCAGAAAAAAACTGTCCCCAACTTCAATGAGGCGACGGTATCCCTAAAACTGGAAAGCAATTCAGCTCTGAAACATCAAGCTGATCTGTTGTTGAGGCAAACACATCGCATGGAAAAACACTGGCATCTGGTGATTGTTTCCTCCCAGTTTTCTTATTCAACATTAATGTATCTCTCAAGACGAGACAGCAGGGTGTAAGGGAACCACTCTTGCATGAATAATGGCTAAAAACAATCCCAGGCAAATAGAGACATTTAAATAATTTACGATGTATTTACACAATAATCCATCTTATTTTTTCCAGCAGTGTCTTTTCATCTTGTCAGAGTGTGGATGCACCTTCTAGTCGCCCATCTTTACTTTTGACGTCTGCGGGAGACAAATAGAAACCAGTCACGACAGAATATCAGGAAGACAAACGGACAAAATCATCACATGTGCACAGCAGAGATCCATTTCGACTGTTGTGTTTAAAGTTATCTATGCAATGACATATCTCAAGACTAAAGTCATTTCTAAACGGCTTAAGGAGAAAAGGGAGAAGCCATAAAGAAATCAGCTTGAGTGATTCACCTGCAGAATGGCTACGATGACACCAAACAGGCCGATTGCACTGCCAAAGATCTCCACGATGAGGATCTTCACGAAGAGGCTGGCGTTCTGAGCATCTGCCAGAGCTGCTCCGCTGCCCACGATGCCCACGCAGATGCCACAGAAGAGGTTGGAAAAGCCCACAGTCAGACCAGCTCCAAACATGGAGTAACCTAGACAAGGCAGAAATTCAAATGAGTCAGACCTCCAGGGTGAGTCATCCACAGCAGAACTGGAAACAAAGATCTGACTTCCCAGTCCGTTTGGAAACTAGTCAAGTGTTGGGAGTATCTAAAAACACTAACATGGAAAAAGTCTCTTTGTAGGTGATATCTTTCTCTGAGGGTGGATTACAGTTGGGGTCTAAAATTGGACTCTGTCATATCTGAGTTGATTTTGTATATAACATATTTTATACAAATATAGATTTAATACAGAAAGTACCTAAAATGTTTCAAACGTTTACCCTTACACCAGACCATTTGAAGAGAAAATGTTAAGATTGTCTACATTCATTTCACACGCTTTAGAATGGGCACAAGCTTTCTTCAAATGTCTCACCAGCTTGGTAGTTCCTTGCTCCGATGGTCTCAGGGGTCGTTCCGGTGAATCTCTATGAAATGAAAGATTATATTTAGAACCAAATAACCACCCTTGTGCTCTGTTGTTGTTCATATAACAATATTAAACTATATTCGTCCCATATGAATAAGACTCTAATGTACGATTGTGCTGTTCACTGTACAGTAGGGTTGTGCTCAAACAATCGATACGGCAATATATCGTCATGTGCTCCTAGCAAATACATACAGTATATCTCTGCAGATGTTTCAGAACCGATATGGCTGCAAATCTGTCATGACAGTAAAGACAGTTGCCCTATGGTGCAGTTCACAATCACACCATATCTTTTGGATTAAAACATTTTAATGTAATTCTGAGGACCTGAATTGAAGTGTTTCAAGTTGTAGGATCCTTAAAGGTCCAATATTATGCTTTTTCTGGTTTAATATGCTCTTTAGTGTGTTTTCCATGTATCCTGTGCATGTTTAGGCACATCTATTTGCAGAAATTCAAAGTCCGCGGAAACGTGGCTTCTCCTACCTCCTCCTGTTAGCTGTAGCATTAGCCGCATGTAACGCTCGGTTCTAGCCCCCCTCGATAAAAATGTGTCAGTCTGATGTCATTGTCAGTGTGAGATCACTGATCTAAGCCCATTGGCTCGTTGTGGCAAGCCCAGCAGTTCATGTTGCACGCCCGTTAACTTTTGTAGCACGCCCACGATATGCCGTAGCCTGCGGTAGCACAGTAGTGCTAAGGTGCTAATGTTTATGCTCCCCTCGGACGGAGCCAGTGGCTGCATTCCCAATATGGTAAAAGGGGCGGGACATTTCCGAGAACCGTGCTGAGCAACTGACCAATAACGACAGAGCGGATCGGCAGACCAATCAGAGCAGACTTGGCCCACGTGGGGTCTAACAGTGTGGGCTCAACAGAGTGTAGCTGACGGACTCAGAGCAGAGAGGGAGCAAGGAGGAGCAGTACATGAAAACAGACACTTTTTTCAGACTTTAGCTATTGTGAACGTACAAAAGTAGGTACATAGATTAAATATACGTAGGTGAACCTGCGGAAGGATCATTACCGGTTTGAGATCCCCGCACCCAAGGCCGCGTGGCCCCTCGGTGCTGGCGGCGGATATGTCAGAAAAAAACATTTGTCTATGGATATCTGCACGTTTTTTCTGGATCATGATCAACAAAAGATGCTCACTGCTTACCTCAGCCATGTTGCTGATTACAATAGCCATGATGATTCCATAAATTGCAACAGCTTCACAGAAGATGATGCTAGAGGGAGACATAAAAAAGAAAACGTTAAAAGATTGGGTTTTAAATTGGCAGCTTTTTCTTCTATGTTGCCACAAAGTGCTACTGGGGACTTAATATAACTAAAGCAGCTAAGCCCAAACTTAAAGCTACTCAGGGGCTACGCAGACAAGCTAATTTATTAATTGAGGCGCTTGTCTTGGCTTCACTCTCGAACGTCTTGTGAAATAAGACAGTCTAATATCTTTATGTGAGATTCCAACATTGTCCACACAGAGATTGACTCAGAACACTCTGCGTTACCTTGTCTGCCGTAGTGTGGCATACAGGTCAAGTGTTTGTGCTCTTTTTTCTAGCAACACCTGACCCCCTCCCCCCCCCCCTATTTACAGTATTTACTATCTAGTTTTGAACTGCTTATACATTCCCCCTAGGTGAACACCATTACAAACATTCTGTGTAGTAACTCAACCTGCAGAGGGATTTCATTTCACTATCTGAGGATAATAATGAGCCAACAGGTTTCAGGAAGGAGTCGTGAAAGAAGGATGGATGGAAAGGATGGATGGAAAGTCAAGGATTTGATTAAAAAAAAAAAAAAACTGAATAAGCCTACCTGACCAGATTCTTGGTTTTGATTCGTGGAGCCTTAACACCACCACCAATGATGCTCGAGCCAGTGATGTAGATCCCCCTGGAAAGCAAAATAACAAGCAGCACAAACATAAACATGTGACAACAAACTATTTGCTGATTAAAAAGTTTAAGAAGAAGAAAATAGTTCCAGTGAATTTTAGCTTGAAATACTCATTATTTTTGCGAACAGACGGAGATTTTAAATACATCATTCAATTATCATAATAATCTGATAAATGAGTTTAAAGCAACCAAACACCCTCAAGTTAAATCTAGTAAATGGATACAACTTAAATAATAAATATCCAACAGGATGCAAAACAAAAGGCAGCCTACAGGAGCATAACTGAAAATTAAAATCAGTGTATTAATGGAAATAATATGAGTGCTTCAACATATACCTTAAAGATGTGATGTTCCTTTTTAATGTGTTTGTATGTATTCCATCACTGAATAAATCAAACATATGTGAGCCTAGTCCCCTCCACTTTTTGCTGGATGTGAAGTTTAACTGGCTCTAATTTATTTAGAGCTTTTTCTTTCCAATTCTGGTTGTTAAAAAATGAATTTAGAGGGAGATCTTTGATTGATGTTCATAAGGTGACATTAAGAATTTCCCACATTTAGTGCATGTCCTGTCTTCTACTATTTTTACTCTAACCTTTTCCACAAGCAAAACGACTAAGTTGGGACATTTGGCACACTCTTAAGGGGCCATACTTTGCTCTATCTAAAATATGAATAAGTATTTCCAACCAAGCATAAAATCACACTAAGTCAGTTTGGAATGGGCTGACTAGCTTGTTTTTGTTTACACACTGTGTCTTCGTTGTTTTACAATATGCCATGATGTCACTCACATCGTGGCTTCTGATTTAATTATATTTAAGAGAGGTTTCTGTTTGGCTAACATCTGACATTTTCAGTTCCACATGACCAACACACATTAAGAGTTGTAAAAAGCAGGAAGTTGGTCTATGAAATAGAAACACACTTTAGGGAGTCACATACACCCATCACCATGGGAACCACATTTACAATAAGAACTCACCAGGCAGCTCCCACCACAGACAGAGAGATGGCCAAGCCAATGCCCAGACTGGCCCACATAAAGGGAGAAGTCTCTGTCAGGAACCTGAAAAGAAGAAGTACAGCTGAAGACTACACTTTATGGGGGAAGGAGTGATATTAACAGGCAGAAACATCAGTTTGTCTGTTCACATGGCAAAGAGGACTTTCTTCATTTGCTTGTTGTGTTCTTTTTGTTTTGCTTTTGTAGACAGCTTAAAGTTTAAATATAAAGACTGGGACACTGCATGATTCCTGTGTTGGAAACATTAAGAAGAATAGTTTTAAACATGCATTAGGTAAAGACCAATGAAACAGATTAAAATCTGCTTCTCTAATCAAATGTTTTTGTCAAACCAGATGCAGATTCAGTTCAAATATGCCCCTCTTCCACTGTTGATTGCAGCGATTAAATTACCTTAAAGGTCAATCCACAATACAACTGCACTACATCACTCATTGTATCAAATTCATATCTTGTTTTTGAATTTTGAGATCAGTCAGTGAAGCAAATGTATACATTTTGTATCCCTTTGACTCTTGCATAAAATAAAAATAGTTGACTTTGAACAGTCATGTGAAGACAGCCTCTCAAAGAGCAAGGCACTATAACCACAGCAACTATATCAAAGGCAACACCTTCCAGCACTGAGCTCTTTTCGATAGACTACAACTAGTATTTGATGCAAAGCAGGACGGTGATTGTTTCAAAATTGTTCATCCTTGGGAAGATATTTGGTTACAATAACGATGTTCAGCAAAATCCTTTATTCTAAAAGCCCCAAATTTCAACATCTCCTTTTCGGCAACACAACATTTTAAGGAAGGCTCACGGCTCTATCCTAACAAATGTACTGACTTCAAAATAGGACAATTACCTTTCGATATTTACAATATTAATTAACCTATTGGTGATGGTCTAATATTATTGATGTCGTGCCAATAAGAAAACATTTGTTACAAATTCCTACTGCCTTAAGTTAAACATTCAAACATAAAACAAAAAAGGATTATAATAATAACGGAAATAAAATGTTGGCAGTAGAACATATTTTCCACTAGTTAAGCAGCTCTACATTGATCCAAGTACAAAACAACATGTAAATGTAACTTTTAACCAGACAGACTTTAACAGATTTAGTGGGTGCTAGTATGTTGCCAATGTTTCCCATTGTGTTTATTGACCTTATGACAGTACTTGAATACTAAGATTGCTTACCATGCCACATCAAAGCGGAATCCAAGGTCAAATATAGTATAGCAGATACCTGTGCAGACAAAACACAGAAATTAGATATGAAAGTGGTAAGAAAGCTTTGATGCTCTAACACAGCCTGTTTGCATGCACAGTATGTTACAGCATTAATAAACTTTCCCTCATAAATGACCCATGGGTGACACAGTGTCACACATATGTGCTACAGTCATGGAAAGAAGTTCTCACATTAGTGTGATCGCTCACTCTCACGTGAAAACTGCTGCAGTTCCTGTTTGGGATCTTTCAGTGACATTAACAGCTAAATGGCTAACCTTAGCTCTGCAGAATGATTTGATTTCTAAACTGAGAGAGGGGCAACCAATTTCCCTCAAACATCTCCCACCGAAGAATATCTGAGACTAGTCCAACGTGAACCGTAAAAAGCAATGTCCAACATCTGACACCAGAGTCATTTACTGCAGCAGGCGCTTAGCTGGAGAGCTACAGTATTAGCTTAATATCAGCTGGAGAACTGCTGGCTTGGATACTAGACCAGGTCGTTGGTCTTAAGATACATATTACAAATGATGCTCAAGAAACAGCAAAACAAATTTTACTTTGTGGAAGTGCAAATTGCTAAACTGCATTAAAAACAGTGTCTTCCGACACAGGAGCTTCTTAGCATTAATGGATAGCAAACAAAATGGAAACAGCCGCATCAGCTTTTGGTCCCATGATTTAGTCCCGATCATATCTGTCAAACACCAGAAGAGAGACTCACTGACGACGTGGTCACCGCTGCATGAGTCTGTGTGATGGGTGATTTCAAGCATTATTTACAATATTCTGACCATTATTAAGGAAACTGGAATCTTACCGACGATTAGTATGGTACTCCAGAAGGCCAAAGTGACCCCCGTGTACAGAATAGCGTGTCCGTTCATCATACACTCGAGAAGCATCTACCTGTCGGCCTAACCTGCTGGATCACACAGATTTCTTTGGCTCAAATCTAATATTTGACGCCAGTGATGCCAAGATAACGAAAATAATGCTGTTAAAAGAAACGCAGTCGGTCGATGGAGGAGATGAAGAAACACCAAGAGGGGGAAGCTGGAGGATGTCAGCTGATCAGGCTTGACGAGCATGTGACCGGGGAACTCGGGGGCTGCGTTCGGTTATATATTTCCTCAACCTTGTTGAAACTATTGTATTGTATTGTATCTATTGCATGAGTGGCGTTGACTAAAACGCTGGTTTATTCTCCTTGTGAAGTCACAGGTAGTAACTCTTACACGATTTAGGACTGACATTGGACTTTACACAGAAAGTAAATAGGTTAAAGGCCTCTTAGAAACAGGAGAAATGTACTCGAATGCGTCCTAGTAGGCTGCGTTCAACAACCTGCAGTGCACACTTTAGACGCTAGATGTCACTGACGTAGTGGTGTTTGAGTCACGACTCCAGTATAATGACAGGAGACCACACTGTTGATAAAGTCAAACTGTCAAACCAGTTTCAACACACAGTAGGCTACTATCACTTTGCTGACTTTTAATGCAATCACAGATTTTTACCCCACAAATGTTTTTGTAAAACATCTCAACAACCAAATACAATATCGTTTTCCAATATTCTTTACAAGTCATTAATAAATACTGTTTATTTACAGTCTATGTTACACAGTTGATACAAATCTACACAATAAAAAAACGTGTTTTTTTTTTATCATGTCAGCAAAGTTGCACATGCACACAAATACAGCCTCATTTATTTTAGTAAAAGCTAAATATATTTTAGAGCCAAAATTTTACAATAAGACCTTCATTTAAAACCTTCATCAAATTCTAAGGGTAAAATTTCAAAATTTTACAATAAGACCTTACCTTTAGTACTAAGGCTATTTAAAACCCTTCATAAAATTCTAAGGGTAAATTTTCAAAATTTTGAAAGTCTGAAAAATAACCCAACATTGTATCGTGACTATGTTTGGACATCGCCCCCATTTTTTTTTGGAAATCTCTTTCATAACCCAGAGATTTGAAGTTTTCTTACATTTACATTGCATGTGGATGTTACCAAGTGGTATTACAGGAAATATGTGAAACAGCACTTTAATGAAGTGAAGATCCACCAGGGGGCGTCCTTTTATAACTTTTGTTTTCCAGTTAATATTCCTCACTAAACTGCAAATGAATGTTCAAACTACAATTTGTGACAGGTATATATCAGGAAATCATTTAAATCAACTAAGTGTGCAGGCTATTACTTGAAGGATACATTTATGTTTATAAGAAAATAAAGGTGCCATCTTTTTTAACACAGGATATCAGGTCATACTTGTATTTAAGGAGAAATGAAAGATTGACAACATACAAAACAGCACACAGTCTTTGTTGTGAAACAGATAGCATAAAGCTTCTGACCAGATATCTGACTTCAACACTTCATTTATTTTATGATACTCTTTATGTAAGTGCCTTTTAACTACAAGGACAGTTTCACAATCCTAAATTCTAAACCCTCAGCAATCTGTGGAGTTCATTGTTCAGATATAACTAAACAAGACCTTGAAGCTTCTGAAGGTGCAGAAGTCAGCTTTTTAACACCGGTTTAGAATACCATATATTCAGTAGCCTATTTTGTAATCCAAAAACATTATAGTCTCGAGTATTATTAGATTTTTCTCACCCCTGCATGTATGATATTTTGCTAAACCTGTTGTCCAACAACATGCTGCTAGCTAATGATATGCTACTTAGATTTATTGCTCATTTGATACTGTATATATAACTAGCTGAACATGCTTGTAACTCATTTTAGAGCACACTTCATGAAAGATGGGTTATATTTGGGACACCGGATAGCCGGTTATTTTGCGTGCCTCATGTGCGGAGGCTATTCCTTGTCACAGCGGCCGAGTCCGACCTCAGCCCTTTGTTGCATGTCATCGCCCACTCTCTCCTCCCAACAGTCCCTGTCTCTCTTCAGCTGTCTTTCAAATGAAGGCAAAAACAGCCCAACAAATACCTTTAAAAAGAGGACGGCATATATTTTATATTATATATTTGTGTTGCTTTTGCTCTTTTTGAAAGAGTTAAACCAATTACCTCCAAATTCAAAAGATCTTATGACAAAAACGATTACTATCTACTGTGTTTGTTAACTTATTCTTTGTTTTGAGTGGTGCTTGGCAGGTAGTTTGCAGTCAATTTATCAAAGCTTTATTCTTTTATTTTCATTTAGTTATAAAACAGCTGTTGGCTGCAGCTGAAAAAATGCTGGGAAGGACTGCGTGTGCCATAAAAAGCTCCAAGAGGCTTTGGGGGAGTAGAAAGTTTTTAACCACAAGTGACACTATTCCCAAAAGTAGTAAACACTTCTTCATTATAGACACTTTTATTTTGAAGTGTTATCTCGCCCATGTCCATAATATAAACTTGACTTTGATATTGTGTTGTCTGATTAAAAAAATTCTAATAATTTGATTTTACTGTTGATGTGTTCCTTGTATGCGTTGTCTTCTGTGTTCTCCTGGTGCAAAACGAATGTCCCCTTGTTGGAGAGTAAATAATCTGAATGACTGCTCAAACTTATATGACTCCTGCAACAAAACTGCAAACAAAGTGGCACCTTTTCACAACCACATAAACCTTACTATGAATGTGTAGGCCTGACTGAACATTACATAAAGCCAGAACATTAGTCTTATTTCCTAACTAACCCTGCCAGCACTCACGTCAATGCATGTTGCTTAAAAATAACTTTCTATTGTGCTAGATCACAAGGTTTCATGCAAGGCCACATCAACAGCTTCTAGGTCTTTGGATCAATGAATGTGTTTATGTACACATAGCATTCTGATAAATAGCCCTAAACCAAGTGAGGTGTTACTCTTTACAAATGGTGCTGTGTGCATCCGTAAGCTCCCTAATATGCTTCTCCACACATATACCGCGTCCAGCCATCTCCAACCAAACAAATTAACTGTCTTCACAAAAGTACATTGAGTCCCAATAATAGGCAGGAATAAGCAGAAAGAAATGTTTTTGCATTGCTTACAGGCTTAATCAACTGTGCTCACATAAGCTTCTGCTGAATTTCAAAGAATCAATCTGTTCAACTCTGCTGTTTTATTAGATCTAATTTCAGCGTCTGTTGAGGTAAACGCAGGGAGTCTGTTTACGTACACATAGCGTTCTGATAAATAGCCCTAAACCAAGTCAGGTCTTATTCTTTACAAATGGTACAAATGCAGAAGAAGAATATAAACATTGCCATGGAAACAGCACACACAGCCTGTATATTTGAAAACAGTCATGTACGGGATGAGGTGCACCCGTGTGTCACAGCCCCAGGTTATACAATATGAGGCAGCAGTAGCTCAATCTGTAGGGACTTGGATTGAGAACCAACCGGAGGGCTGCCAGTTCAAACCCCGCTGCTGACCAAAATACGGAAGTTGGTCTGGCAGCTGGAGAGGTGCCAGGGCACTTCCCGGGTACCGCGGAGGTGCCCTGAGCAAGGCACAGAACCCCCACATATCTGTGCAGCAGTGTGTAGCAGCAACACTCTGACATCTCTCCAGTATTGCATGTCCACAGATCCTGTTTGTGCATGTGTGTGTATTTCGGGCGGATGTGTGCAGAAGCGTGTCTCTTAATAACAGAGTGTAAACCAGAATTTCCCTCAGGGGTTAATAAAGTATATCAATCAATGAATTAAAATGATGTTTATACCATCACTTTTTAAAGATTTTCACAGCTGGGTTCAGAGCTCCATGAGGATACTGACTATTAGCTGGATTTTGAAAGAATATGTCCCCTTCTCTCTCTCCTTTCCCATTCCATTTCCAGACGAGGAGGCTGAAGAAAAAAAAACAACTGGTGACCAATGAGCAAGTCATTTATAAACACTACTATCCCAGTCCTCTAAACGTAGCCTTTCACCTCGGATTATGAGTAGGCACGTTGTGTTCTCACATGTGTCTCCTCTGTCTGTTTTCACGTACACACCGCGGGTACAAATGTCCCCTTCAGATGGTGACAAATGCCAGGGGTTAATAAAACAGACAAGGCAAAACACATAATTCTCTGTTTAAAATCATCAACCTCTATTATCAAATCCCTGTTTAGTGTGTTTTTGTTGTCTTAGGTTGGGACATTTTTAGTGATGTAACCTACTCAAAGTATTCTAAAATATTACAGACTGTGACTGGGCTTAGAAAAAAATTCCTTTTAAATGTTTAAATATTCTAGTTTGGGAATTGAGGTGCCATTCAGCATATAAGTCAGGCATTAAATGGGATGTAAACCTTCATATTAGATACTCTGTGTATGAATTGGCTTCAGGCAAACCCAGTTTTGTGTAAGTGATCATCACTCAGTGAGTCTATAATTGTGTGTGGCCATGCTTCTCCACACATATACCGCATCCAGCCACCTCCAACCAAACAAATTAACTGTCTTCACAAAAGTACATTGAGTCCCAATAATAGGCAGGAATAAGCAGAAAGAAATGTTTTTGCATCGCTAACAGGCTTAATCAACTGTGCTCACATAAGCTTCTGCTGAATTTCAAAGAATCAGCCTGTTCAACTCTGCTGTTTTATTAGATCTAATTTCAGCATCTGTAGGGGGGGGAAATGTCTCTTGTTATTTTTCTTATTTCATAACCCTTGCTAAAAGTGAATGACTCCATCTACCTTAGATGGAGTCATTCACTTTTATGGATACATCTCTCAAAGAACAAAACAGGGCTGTCATAATAGTCTCAATATTCTATCATGTTATCTGACTGTTGTTCACAGTGGGAAACAAGCAACTCAACTTTAATCAGGATATATAGTTCCTTTAGATAGGTTAACTTTGAAAGATTTAAAGGAAAAAACACATAAAACAAAAACATTTTGATTAAAAAACACAATGTTCTCACCTACACAATGTTACAATCCAGCTGTGACTGTGTGATTGGGGGCCCCCGGGGTGGAGAGTGTGGAATGACATGTGGGAAAGGGAGACCAGGAGGACCACAGCCTCTGAACATGAGGCACGACCAAACCAACAGGCCATCTGTACCCCCTATTGTGATACTTCTACTTAAAACTGATGTATGCATGTCAGTTATTAAATTTTCCTCT